GTTGTGGAGCCGGGTAGAAGAGTTCAATAGATCATCTTGTCAAAAGTCAAAACTCCCCGTGCTTGATGGACACTCACTCTGTCCACATCCATCACGGTGTCAATCTTAGGTGCCATCCTTTATGTCAAGGGAGATGTCCAGTGTGAGCCTCAGACTTCCAGGTGCCGATGCTCAGGGCAGCACATTGCACACATTTACACACATGTACATACATATACAAAATGAAGACATAGCCGAATTAAATGTGTAAGTGCAAATAATGCTTCCTCAAAATAAAACCTGCCTCTGCTTTAATAAGTGGCTTGTCCACCTGGAGCTACTTAGGGTAACCTTTGCAATCATGGGTGTTGGTATCAGCCAGTGGCACCTGAGTCCTGTGCTGTGATCTGTAGAAAAATGTAGCCTTGCCTCGCGGGCTTCTAGTTGGCTTCTTTGGGTAGTGAGGTCAAATAGTCCTGATCCCACTTCCACACGAGCATTTTTAATGTAAGTCTATTAGGCAGTGGAGAGCTGGATTCCCTGTGAGGAGAGGAGGAAGAAGAAGCAGTGAGGACTCTCACCACAATGTTACAAAGCTAACTGTGGTTTGGGCGTGCTGGTCTACCACCAGCCAGAGTGGAAGTGGAAAAGAAATCACTGGCAGGAGCTGCATTCCGGATGAAGCTCTTTGCAGGTTAGTGAACTCAGCGGAGTGCCAGACTTCTGTGTAGGAAGACCAGCAAACACCTACATAGCATAATTGGAGGTGTACAACAAGGCCCTGCTGGCCATAAAATGGCTCTTCACAAAACCTACAGCAGTTGGGCATCCTCAGCTGTGATACATATTAGTCCAACCATGGCTGTGCACAAATGCAGACGCGTGCCAGAGCCCCAGCCTTCAAGACCTGGCAAAGTAGTTCAAGGCAGAAATAAGCAAGATCACGGAAGGCCTTGTCAGTGATGAGACTGTGGAAAATAAGGGCTTGGAGGATGGCCCAGCTTAGAAGGGAGGAAGCATGGGAGAAAAGGGGAGTCACAAAACCCCGTGACAGCTTGGAGAAAGGCTTAGCCTGTAGAAATGACTGCTGTGTAAGCATGCGAACCTGAGTGCTGGCCCCTGGAGCCTTCCTCCTGACCTGTGTCATGATGAGAAAACACTGAAGGCTGCTGAGTCACAGGGACAGAAGCTCAAATGCTCCCCTGTGCTCCGTAGTTCTGGGACTGTGTTACCTGCCATCACATTTGAAGTTATGTCTTTGTCCCACTGAACCCACATCCAGTTGTGAAAATCCTGTGAGAACTGCTTCAAAGAGGCAAAGTCCTTCATGCAGAAAGAACACCGTCCTGGAAATGGTCGCTATTTTGCAGTTTTGTTAAGTGGGATGCAAAGCAAGTTCTTTTGTTTGCCCACACCCATCGTCCTAGCACTAGGGAGAGTGAGGCGGGAAGGTCATGAGTTAGAAGAACTCTTCCTGAAAGCCAAGGTGCCCCACAAATATGGTAGCACACACATATACGAAATGAGAAAAGCAAGAAAGAACCCTTCAGGTGGGTGCTGGCTTTGGAGGTGGAAAGTGGGCTCTCTAAATGTGTATGCTGTGTACATGTGCATATCTTTGCATGTATGTAGACTGTAAGCACTCTTGTGCATCTGTGTGTATGTGACATATACGTTTATGGATGAACATGTACACGTGCATCTCCTAGTTCTAGATAGTAAAAGGGATAAAAGTCAAGAAACAAAAACCCAGTAATACCCAGGTCTTGGATTCTCCACAGATGGGGTAGGATAGGTGTAGACCTGGCTGCACCTGGAGGTGAGAACATGTTCAAGACAACAAAGAGAACACACAGCCAACTCGGATAGGCTGTTGCTGGCCAAAGCAAGCGAAATAACGAATCCACACTAATCGTGAATCATAAACCCTGAAAGCTAGGTGGGGCGAACAGGTGGCTTTCTGTTAGTTTGAACAAATCCTGGGCTACACAGTGAGTTCTAGGCCAGCCTGGGCTACAAAATAAGACCCTATCTCAAAACAAAATAAAATACAAAACTAGATAAATGATGACGAAAAGGACAGACCTGAAGTTTCGCCCACAGTTGAAGGCAGAGGGCCAGACAGCAGCGTGTTGTTCAGTGTGAAACTTCTTCTGAACAAAGAGCTCTAAAAAGAAAGGCTTTCGACGTGGAGAGTGTGCTCTTGTAATTCTTGCAACCTGGAAGGCTGGGTCTGGAGGATCATGGGTTCCAGGCCAGAACAAGACCCTGTTTTAAAAAGCAAGCAGAATAGAAGGCAGAGGCAGAAGGATGACTGCAAGTTTGAGATCAGCCTAGTGAGACCCTGATTTGAAGAAATGGGATGGGGACTGGGGGGAGAAAACGGACACTTCACAGTCCCAGGAAATAATTCATTCCATGCTTTGTCCTTCAATTATAGCTGGAGAGAATTTGCTTCGTTCACTTACTTGAATGTAAATCTCAAGCTATTGGAAAGTGACATTTTCCAATGTGAAAACTTCTTCTGGGTCATTGGAATCTTACACAGGGTTGTGGAGCCGGGGAGAAGAGTTCAATAGATCATCTTGTCAAAAGTCAAAACTCCCCGTGCTTGATGGACACTCACTCTGTCCACATCCATCACGGTGTCAATCTTAGGTGCCATCCTTTATGTCATAATAAAACCTGATTCAGTTTTCAGTAGTACCAAGCTTTCTCTTCATTGGCTCCTAATGCCTTTTTTTTTTTTCTTTTCTTCTTCATTTAACCTCAACCACTTACAAAATGATAAAGTTTCCTAGAGCTGTGAGTATGGCTCAGCTGTTAGAGTACATCCCTAGCAAGAATGAAGCCCTGGATTTGATCCCCAACACCACACAAAACCAGGTGCGGTGGTGTATACTTGTGGAGATGGATCCAGGAGAATCAAGAGTTCAAGGTCACCCTCAACCACATAGCAAATTCGAGGTTATCCTGGGACATAGGAGACCTTGGAGAGGACAGGAGAGAGGGGGGAGGAGGGGGCAGAGAAGGAAGGAGGAAAGGGAAGAGCAGAGATCAGACCTAAGATGAATGTTTTTACATATGTCTGCACATGACCAAACAGATCTTCCCAAAGTTAAAGGAATGTGTACAGTTGTTCTTAGAAACCTGATGTCTGCCTGCTGGCCAGAAATCAGAGCTCTCCACGAATGATGGTCACTGGAGACACCTAGAGGACATCTTCAGGAACTGCTAGAGAACAGGACTTGAAGCGTTCAGTGGTTCCGATTCTGTTTCAGGACAGAAAGTGTGTTGGTACAGAACATCAGATGGGAGGCGGGACAGGCCATTAACTCCCCAAACTAGGAAATCACTTGTTCCTCACCCAATCTCTAATAAACTATATTAACCCTGTAAGAGCATGCTTTGGGGGAGGGGGGTGTCCTATTATAATAGGGAGCATCGGGAAAGTCTGCGCTGGGGCTGATGCTGATCAAAGCTGTCAGAAAAAAGAAAAATCTCCCTTGTTCAGTGTAAAGTGACTTTCTCTGCTCTTTGTTGGTTTTCTAATTGTTTAGTATTCCTTGAACTTAGAAATTAAGTGGGGGGTTTGTTTTTGTTTTTGTTTTTTCAAGAACTTTATTTTTTTGTGAACTTCATATATGATCATCTTTTTATATAATTTCCACTCCCCCTCCAGAGTTCCTCCCTCTAGAACTCATGGCCTCTTCTTCTCTACTTACTGTTGTTACATATATATGTACACACATGCACACACACACACACACACACACACACACACACACACACACACCCTACAGGATTCAGTCAGTGTTGCTCATCTGTACATGTGCTGAGGACTGACTACTTGGGACTAGATAGTCTATCACGGAGAATCTCGTCCCTGGAGAAGCGTGATTCTTCCTTCCCCGGCAGGCACTAATTGCCTGCAGCTTTTCATCGCGGCATGGGTGTCCTAGTTGGCCTGCCCGTTGCTGTGACAAAACATTCGAACCAAAGGCAACTTGGGAGGAAAGGACTTATTTCATATCGCCGCCCACTATCATCCAGGATACTTGCGGCAGGAATCTGGTGTGGAATTAGAAACAAAGACCACGGAGGAACGCTGCTGACCAGCTTGTTTCAAGTTCAGCTGCCAGGGGTGGCATTACCCACAGTGGCCTGGGTTCTCCTACATCAATTAGCAATTAAGAAAATGCCCGGAGACAGGCCCATGGGCCAATCTGATGGAGGCAATTCCTCTTCGCTCTTCTCAGCTAGGTTTCTGTCACGTGGACACAGACTCTGCGAGTGAGGTTTTGTGAAATTCCTTCCCTCTATGTTGGCATGTCAACTGCTGTGGCCATCTTCCTCCCTCCACATTGGCATGTCAACTGCTGGGGCCATTGTGCAAGTCTTGTCTGGGCAAATACATTGAGATTTCATGGTTGCACCTCCCTGTCATGTCTAGAAGACACCCGTCTTACAGCAGGTGTCCTGGTCCTCTGCCTCCTTCATGTTATTTTAAAGACACTGAAAACTCCCCCTCTGGCTGCCGATAGCCTTTGTTGGACAGTGTAGCGTGCCTGTCTTATCCCTTTGCCCTGTCAGCTACTCAGTATGCTTTTCAATGAGCAGCCAGCTGATGGAGACAGTAAACCCACTCCTGCTTTAGAAGCCTGACTCTCACAGTCCATGGGGAGGGGTGGGGGGCAGCAGCCTGCAATCACAGTGAGGGTACCAATGGATTAGGACACACAGACAACTATAACAAGAACAGCTGGCCATAACCCACACGTCCACGGTCCAGAGAAAGTTTTTTAATGTCTTGAGTAATCATTATTACAGCATAACCACCATCTATGTCTAGCCGTCTTTTATTCTGGGATGTAACCCGAACCTTCCTGTAGAAGCGTTACAATCTTACAGGAAATCTTCTGTTCCCTTTGCTATAGAGAGGTCCTACTATATATTGATAAAGGTATGACTTGAGGACTTAAGGTACTTGGAGCTTTTTTTTGGTAAGAACCATTTGAAATTTTCTTCTCTTTATCGGGGTGGGGATCATGGCAGGAAGGAGTTGCTTCCCAGTGTCTGGAAGTCCTCACCAATAACAAACTCAAATCTGAGGTTGCATTTTTATGTCCAGACAGGGTGTGGTTGAAGGCAGACTTGGAACCGGGAGGGGAAAATGTGTATTTAGTAGGTTTTTTTTATTTCTCTTTTAAGGAGGAAGACAATGAATGGGCCTGTGAATTTCTCCAAGGTCAGAATGAACATCCAGCCCAGACGGGGATGGTAGCATTGCTATTGAATGCCTACGCGGTGTGGGCAGAGGTGGGTAAGGTGAATAAGTGTGATTCCCATCAAATCTCCGTCTGAGTCTTGAACGACATATTTCATTTCAGCATGTGTAAAATACGCATGAGCAAATGGTTGGGGGATGGCTAATCACATGCAGATGACGATGTTAAAAGATGTTTTTAGATGAAAGTGGAACCAAGTGGCCATTCCTGTAATATTTAATGTAAGAACTGGGTCGGAAGGTACATAAAGAAGAAACAAATGCCTAACTCAAAATAAATGTGCTCTTGGCAGTTTCTGCACTTGGGGGGCTGGGAGCTGAACTCTGGTCCTCACCCCCAAGCCATCTCTCCAACCCTCATTAAGGGAATTTTTATAACACTCAAGACAGCAACTGAAACAGCAACTTTTAAAACAGCTTTCAATTTTTAAATACTGTTTTGGATATAGTATGTGTATATGTATTCTGTGCTCTACGTGTTCATTCATGTGGAGGTATCCTGGTTAGGCTTGTTTGTTTGTCTGTTTGTTTTGTCAACTTGACACACCCAGGGTCATCTGAGTAGAGGGAACCCAACCTCAGAAAATGCCCCCATCTCTGGGCAGATAGCCAAGCAGGCTGAGCAAGCCTGAGCGGTTAACTCAGTAAGCAGCCTTTCTCCATGGTCTCTGCTGCAGTTCTGGCCTCCGGGTTCCCGCCCTGACTTTCCTTCATGAAAGACTTACAAGCTAAAACAAACACTTTCCTCCCAAATTTGCTTTTAACCAGGGTGTTTTACCACAGCAATAGAAAACCTAATTAAGACAGAAGGCATCCTTCTGAATCATGCTCCACCTATCACTTATCACCATCATCATCATCATTCCTTATGGTATGAAATTTTTACCTACATGTATATCTGTGCGCACCATGTGTGCCCGGTGCCCACAGAGGCCAGAAGAGGGCATCAGATCCACTAGGACTAAAGTTACAGCTGTGAGCCGCCATGTGGGTTGCTGGGAATTAAACCCAGGTCCTCTGGAAGAGCGGCCACCTCTCTTCTCTGCTGAGCCATCTTTCCAGCCCCTCCACTTTATTCTTTGAGACATGGTCTCTCACTGAACCTGGAGCTCACTGGTTGGTCAGCAAGCCCCAGGGACTCTCCTGCCTCTGCTTTCCAGCACCAGGGTTACTAGTGCATGCTGCCTTGTGTAATCATAGGGAGCTAAACACAGGCCCTCGTGCTAATAATTTACTGACCGAGCCATCTCGCTAGCCTCCAAACACTGCCTGCATATGTATATGTTGCGTGTGCTCATGCATGTCTGTGTGTAGATGCATGTGTATTTCCAGCGTGTTTCTGTGTGTGTGTGTCTGTCTGTCCCTGTGTGTGTGTGTGTGTGTGTGTGTGTGTGTCTGTTTTTGTGTCTGTGTCTGTGTGTCTGTGTTGGGGATCTTCTTCAATTGCTCTCCACTTTATTCTTTGAGGCAGAACTGTGGTGATATATTGTGTACCCTAATAAACTCATCTGAGGATCAGAGGACAGAACCAGCCACTAGATTAGACATAGAGGTCAGACAGTGGTGACACACACCCTTAATCCTATCACTGGGGAGGCAGAGATCCATCAGGATCTCTGTGAGTTCAAGGCCACACTGGAAACAGAATCAGGCAGTGGTAACACACGCCTTTAATCCCAGAAAGTGACATGGCTGGGTGGAGAATGGTATATAAGGCGTGAGGAGACAGGAACTAACGCAGTTCAGCTGAGATCCATTCAGGTGAGGACTCAGAGGCTTTCAGTCTGAGGAAACAGGATTGTCTGAGGAATTGGCAAGGTGAGGTCGGCTGTGGCTGCTCGGCTTCTCTGATCTTTCAGCTTTCACCCTGATATCTGGCTCTGGGGTTTTTATTATAAGACGTTTTAAGATTCATGTTACACAGAGCCTCTCCGTTGAAGACAGAGCTCACTTCTACGGCTAATCTAGACATCCAGCTTGCTTCAGGGATTCCCCCACCCTCACTTCTGTCTACCTAACACTGGAATTACAGGTGGGCTGCCACACCCACTCAGCATTTGTGTGGATCCTGGGGATCCTTCATGCTTACATGGCAAGTGCTGTAGCCACTGAGCCACTCCCTCGGCTTAAACAGCAATGTTAAAAATCAAGCATTCTAACCTAATGCAATCTTATACAATAACAATACAGTGTTTCCATGCTGCGGAATGACGGTAATAAGGGAATAGGTAAAGCCTTTGTTTTGTGTAATTAAACCCGTTACTATAAAAAGCAGAAGACTTTACATGTGCAATGAAAACACTGTAATAACCTACAATAGGTTCAGCTCTGAGCTGAGGCACACCAGACAGCTCATAGTGTGAGAGCGTGCCCAACACATACGTACATGCTGTGTGTTGGGGTCAAGGCTGCATCAGTTTTGGGATGCGACGCGGGCAAGCATAGCCAGAAACACCTTGGATTCACTACGGGTTTTATTTTTAATCAATTTTTGTTCATTGAGTATTTAGAAACCCTTCACTATAGCCAAATTTTTCGTGACAGACCTCCCTCCAACCCCCATTCAATTATTTGATGGTATATGACGTTGTGACCCAGAGTTTTTAAAAACCTGAGACGAGGCCAGGAAAAATGGGTAAAACAACCGAAGATCAATTCCCAGATGCTGAAGCCAGGCCGTGTGGCATTCTCTCCCTGCTGCCTGCCAGCCTGGACATAGAACTCTCAGCTCCTCTCCAGCACCACGTCTGCTTTCACGGCACCATGTTTCCCACCGTGACAATAAAGGACT